TGCATGAAGACCTGGGTGACCTTGGGCTCGGCAAATTAAGCCAGAAATACATAACAGATCCAGATATCCGCGGATTGTTAGCTAACACAGCCCTGGATGTCAAGAAAATGGAGCCTTATGATAAAGATCATTTGCTACTCATTACATCTGTGATTTACAGCGAAAAGTTTGAGCTGACGGGAGGGAGAAAACAAGAGGTATTTACTCTACAAAGGCATAGAATGAGACTGATTATTGATCACTTTTTTTGACAAAGATATGGATGTTCTGTCTTCGTTTCTTAATTTGGGATTATCTAACAAGGTCAATAGTCGAGTATAATGTACTTAAAGGCACTGACTTGAAATGTTTAAGCCCCATAATGCAAAAGGGTCATATTTCGTAGGGTTTTTTGGGTATGGTCCTCTGGACTAAGGACCTTTCGTTTCCCACTTCATATTAGCAGCAGGTTGTTTTTTTTCTGTCTTTTCTTAGACCGTTTGGTTACTGCCAAATAAGCAAGACTTCAATGAAACTTCAAGTTATATACCTTTATAAAATGACTCAGCCCCAAGGCTGAGTCGAGGCCGTCAATGTCCACCTCAGGGAACATTGAAGGTCGAGGGGAAACAAAACTCACTGTTTCCCGCAGGGCCAGTCAATAAGTGTATTGTTATACCTCCCAACTCAAAACTGTGAAAAAAATTATTCGCACACTGGCACAGAAATTTACCGCGGTTTCAAGGCGTTCAACCTGATCTCGTGCGATCGAGTCGAAGATTAAAGTTGTTGTTTCCCTAGGGAGTCAGTGTGTTTTGACTCATGGCACGTTCTTCTCCAAATGAAAAACGTATTTGAGTTAAGAAGTATAACAAGTATATTTGTCTTTCAACGCTACCTTCTGGAAAAGCTGAATCGTTCGTGAGCACTTGTGACTGCTAGGAGAGTCTAAAAGAGGCATAATGTATTGTATATCAACACTGACATATGTGCTTGCGTCAAGGATTGGGGAAGGGTCCATCATTAAAAGCTTTCACCACTGAATTAAGAGGTGGGGAACCTGCTGAATACTACGATGTCTATCAGTATCGATAAATGATGATCGTTCCCTAACCTCAGCATATTGTCCACTTGATTTGCAGCGGGAAGGTAACGCAGTCGTAGGGCCTTTGCCGTGGTCCGCCAGCATTGTGTATGGGAGCGCAGGTTTTAAGACGACAAAAACTCCCCCAGAGGGGGCGGAGAGGAATATTAAAGGACCACTGCTCTTCAAATCGTGCCGTGTTGACTACAACAAAAAAACCAATCGACTGGAGTTTCCCAAAGGAGAATATATCGGTAAAACTGTGTGTCACCGTAGAAACGCAGAATCCACACCCAACGTGGAAGGTGGCGAGTATTATGACATCATTGTAAACTGCAATTTGGACGAGATTGATTCCCAAGGTGAGATTAGCATATGTATAATTAAACGGACTTGACTTCAATGACGTGTCATCTGCCAGTCATCATCATTTAGTCATTAAATTTAGCGCTACCAGAGAAGAAACACCATTTCCAAAATTAATATGCCTTTATTTGTTTCCTGCAAATGCCTTCTTCTAGTTTTAAGAAAAAGTCGCGTGCAGTGCATCACTAAACAATGCCTTGACTTATGCATTCCCCGTTTGAAGCATTTGGCAATTAAATCGATTTCATTATTTCTCCAGTCAATACACAGCTTCAATGTTTTAGTACAACAGCAACAAATTGACGTGAATTATATCGAGCAGGCATTTAATGATGTTACTCAGTAACAAAACAATAACTAACACATGCTGACGCTGATAATGGTCAATCTAAGAGTTTTTATGTAAGAGTTTGTACATAATGTTTCCAGCCAAGGTAGTTTTTCTTTATCTCTATAATTAGAGTATGCAGTGGAAGATGCGATAAAACTGCGAGCTATAGAGAAAGAACTACTGCTACCTGGAACGGACAGGGCACAACGCAAAGCTCGAATCAGCAAGTATCTACACTGGGTGAGTGAAAAAAACAAGTAATTAGCTTTAGAAGCTTTGGTTGGTTAATTTCTGTCTATCTGTTTATTTTCTTCTGCTGGCAAACAAGCCATTCCCTAAGTCTTGTTGCTTGCTCTTCATATTGTTGAAGAAGTTCCAGAGAAACCTTGCTGAAGCTTCAAACTCTATGTTTAGCTGAAAGAGAAAGTTCCAAAAAGAGATGTTGAGTTATCTTCCTAGACTCAGCTTGAGTATGATAAGAAAGCTTCTGTTGACCGAATTTTTATGGTTTCAAATAACTATCTTGTTATTCAACTAGTAATCCCTCACTGCTTATACAGATAACTCTTTTCAACAGTTTGAACGGTCACTGAGCACAGACCAACACAAGTTGACGCTTGACGAACCGTTAATAGAAGAAGATTGTGGTTTTCTAAGACAAGTCTACCTTCCTTGCGCCGAGGATTCCACCATGTTGGATCTGACTTCTCTCTCAAAGGAAGACGTTCAGAGTTATGGAATCGTGTTCAATGCACTTGATAGTAAGAATACAAGATTCATTTATTAAACTAATGCATCTACACTGTCGTTTCCCTCGACTTTGTCGAACACTGTAATTTTGCCCCTGATTTGTCGATCTACCCAATTTTTTTAAAGCAACTTCCGCTTCCCTTCGAGCTTCCAAAATCGTGATACCACTGTACTTTTTTTAGTCGATCCTTAACTGAATCATTGTTTTGTGTTTTCGGGTAGCTAAAGACGCTTGACTCTCACGTATATCGTCCCTAACTACCTTCTCTTCTACCCTCTAAATTGGAACGGACTCGAACCTGTTTATACGACTGACAAAAATCACAAAATAATGTCAGTGCAAGCCCTAGTCGCACGCCTCGTGGAGATTAAAGGAAAACGAAGCTATAACTATGTGTTTTGTTTCTTTTAGAATTAAAGGAAAGAGGAATCTCCCAGATATTCATGGTTGCAAATTTTTTTACTCAACAGCTTTGTCTGACGAAAAGTGGATTGAACTGGAGAGGACTATGGATTGCGCATGCCCTGAATGATGGCCCCGTGGACGTGGTTTTATGAGTTCCCTCTTGGAGTTATGATGACCTTACCTAGCTATTTCTCTTAGAGTATTGTTTTGGCAAACTAAATTTAATTTTAGATCAGTTATTTAAAATATCGTCATGGTAAATATTTAAAATTGATGAAATATTAAAAGCCACTGGCTGTAAATATGGAGAATCCGGCGACAGGGCTGAAAATTCGAATTCTCCACTATTTCGTCAAAAAGACCTTTTTGGAGAATTATTTTAAAAAACATGTATTAACGTTTCAATTTTGTGAAATCTCGGAAAAGTTCGAAAAAAAACTTATCGATCAACCAAGAAGGGAGGAGGATTTAATGCAACATTGAGCATTTTAACAGCGCAGTAGTAGAGAAAGAAGGAATGGCCCGTGAAAATTAAACCCGCTAAAAGAAAAACTATGAAGCGCATTGCAAAAAATTGTGTCATTTTTAGACGACTGAGCAAAAATAATCCGCCAATATGTTCTTTTTGACGAAATAAAAGAAAATTGGAATTTTCGGTTCTTTCGCCGGATTCACCATATCTACAAGCAGTGGTTCTTAATGAGTTTGAAAAGCGTATGTTTGTCACCTATATACCTATATCCATATACCCAGTTACCGCCTAACTCCTAAACAACTAGTGACCTTTAAAAAGTATCGGTGGGAGACGTAGAAGACATTTAAACCTGAAGGATACTTGCAAATATAAACTTTTTGAATTACCTTTTTTGTTATTATCATACAGATATCTTATAGCAACAGTGTTAAAGTAAACATTGTACCATAATGGAAATAAACTTTGTTTATTAATTAATTCTCTGTCTTATTTATGGTGACCTCGCTGTCCCATCAGCACTCTAAATTAACGACTAGATTGGGTTGACTCCAAGATTTATGGTGGATTAGCTTGGGATATTTTAGAGAGAAATGAGGAATTTTAGAAAAGTTTTGTTTTCACTTCATTTCTGTAAGAGGTACTTCTAAAAAACTAAGCAATCTATCACTGCAGCTTTCCCCTCACTTGATTCACAATAAGAAGCCAAGTATTAACTTAGTTAAAACTACACAACTCAAAAAGTTAACGGTAACCGATTTTCTTGAATAAGGTGGAGTTTAATTTGAATGTCAGATCCCACAACATCGCGAAATAAATATTCACGTCATGAGAGAGAGAGCGATTTGTGATTCTCCGTCACAATTATTACGAGCACTCCTTCCTGTGTTTCAGTTTCTGTCAAAACCAAAACACCTGATCAAAAGCGTTTTCTATATCGATGAAACGATGTAAAAATATCCACTCCAGCATCGTTATGGTGGTATTGTTCGTACTGCTAAACTGGAATGTGAACAAAGTCATTAAACAATCGCAGCCAGAGATAGTATTCCCAAACCTGACTGGGCCGTCGTAAGAACAAAGGTTTATAAATCAAAATCAATCAAATCAATCGTTAAAACTATTTTCCCTTCTCCCGTGCGAGGTCAAAGAACAAATAGAAAAAAATCATCTTTTTTTATTTGAAACGGGGACCGTGCACGAGGGCTATGTTGGCGGCGGAAAACCGAAGCTGGTATAACTAGATGGCTTTCATTGAAGGAAAGTCCAAAAGGTTTGAGTCAAAAGTAAGAGTGGAATTTTTGCTACAAAACTGACAAAGATGAAAAGATTTCTGAGCATCGTTTTAAAATTAACGTCTTCCAGAATCCCTTGACAAACTAAATAAATCTATTTAAACCGAAAGATCGTAAGCTAGAATTACATATAACACTTTTCCAAAGAAAACATTCTATTTTTGTCAAAACCTAAAGATGAAGAAAATTGTTTATTACTTCACCAGACTTTCGTTCTTTGAATGCTCTCAGTTTTGTGTCTTTTTGTATAATAGTTAAGAATTCTATTTTAGTTTGAACTAGTAGTTCTGGTATTGGAATGATATACCGGAAGACGTCATATCTCTTTTTCGTTGATATCTATGGGCGTCAGCACGATTTCAGTTTTCATGTTTTTCCGTTTTCAGTCAGCTTCTATTGCGAGTAAGCTTATGGCACTTTATATTCGTTTGGTCACGAGAATTAACCAAAGAAGCTAACTGACCTCGAGTTTACGGTAAGTTTTCCAAACTACCTAGCTTTTTTCGTTTCGATATACGATCCACTAGTTCGCCAGCCAAGGTTTGAAAGTTGGCAGCCTTTTTTAAATCGAAGAAAATTATCAATGTTCATTTGTCATCTAGATGTAGAGAAAAATGTTTTGTGAGGGTTACTTATCTTGTCTATGAATATCTGCCAAATTTTGACAATAACTAGGCTCAGTGCTCGACTAGATTAATCTTAATCTCGACACACCACTCCTTCTGTGAAATACTGGATTTTGTAAATTCAGAAGGAATCCACCAGAAGATCGAATAAGAAGTCACTCGGGACACTTTGCACCAAGATTATTTAAATCGTGTTGCAAACGTCCTTGCGAAAAGCGACTGTTTTAAATATCTTCTCAAAAGAAATCATTTCTAACAACACCAAATGTCGAAAACAAATTTTGAAGTTTATGTGAAACAATTGAAAATACTGGTGAAATGAAGCTGATGATGAAATTGTACCTGCTTGCACAATTTCTCTAAACTTTGAAATTTAGTTTCTCGAGTTACCATGGGTAATTGTTTTTGGTGTCATTTCAGGCAACTATTTTTATCTTTATTTAACTTTTAGAAAATTCAAAAAGGACAGAACTATACTCACAATTATTCTGGTACAAGGTTTTTCTCCACAAAAAACTGAAATTGCTTGATTTCCTTTGGGGTTTCGTCTTAATCTGTGTTAGCTTTTCCCGCCTTCAATATCCACGAATTCATCATTTCATTCAGTATTAATGTTTGTTTCGAATTTGAAGGGGGACTGCGCTTTTGTGGTATATTCATTTCATTGGCAAACAGCTGTATGTAGCTTTAAGAAACAGCGAAGAAGGCACTCCGAAGTCTCTGTCAGAAGCTAGGCAGAATACTTTTGTATTTTGGTTTTACTTCCAAAGCTCTATATTCTATAAAGGAACTGATTTACACAAATGTAACTCTCACTTGATGGGGTGGCTTTGCACTATTCGACGGTTGTAAAAAGACGCTTGTAAATAGAGAATTTCGATTCAAGATTTTCTCCCCGTTTTGGTTTCAGATGATTGCAGACTCACTTCGAAGGTTTGCCCAAGAGAATTTTAGCGACAAGTACTTACCAGTCCTCCACGGCGAAACAGAGAATGTCAAGCCTTTGGCACTGGTAGTCAAACAACGTCGGTCGATATGGAAGCGTCCTTTTGCAAAGTTGGAAATGGTAATTCTTGCAGGACTTGAGAGATACGTAGACAGCGGCACGCAGGAAGCATTTCTTGAATCTGTTAAATCTAAAATCACAAAAGAAGAGTTCTTAAAGACACAAAAAGTTGGCATGGGCTCTAGGTATGTATTAAGCTTGTAATTTTGAAATCATAACCATCTTCTTGGGCAAATCTTGTGTAAGCCGTTAAACAAGATCCACGTTTCATTACTTATCCGAATCAAAGTTATACATCCCTTGGAGGACTGGTTCTAGGCTTACGACACTACTATTTGAGCAATAAAAAATGTTTGTCTTTTATCTCAACGTCAGCGAGAAAAGTAAAGGAAAATACATGTGTATCACATGTACATAATTAGCCATTTAAACTGGAGTAAGCTCTAGCTATTTTAGTGTAATATGCCATAGTTGAAAAAATAACTTTACAGAGAGACTACATTCACTCAACGAGAGCGACTTTCAATCTGCGCTCAATATTTTAGAAATTTGCCGATTTCCATTCTGTCCTTCTCGTAGTATTTTTCTCCGTACGTGCTGCATAATAATTTACGGGTAAAAATAACAAAATAACGGCCTTGCCAACTGCGTCGAGACATAATTTCCCTGCTTTAACTGCTAAAAAAATGCTCCAAACACACCACAACTACATATTATGGAGGGTGACTTCGAAATGGAGCTAACTGGAATGTAAAGATTGCATCCTGTAGCTGAGGAAGTAGAAGGGTTGTTTACAGAACTTCTCAAACTCATTAATAATTCATTGTTGTTAAACAAAGGAAGTTAAGACCGTGATGGTGTTTGCATTTCTGATCTTAATTAACATAGAGTTTACGATTTTATTTGTCCGTTTTCTCCTAGTTTAGTTTTAGTTTCGATTGAGAACTCATCAAACACTCAAGAAAATGTTCGACTACATTTCCAAACATCTTGCAAGTTCGTCAAAAATGCTTGCGCATCATATTTTCAGCTCTCTTCTCGGTGTTTGGAAATGCAGTTAAACACAGTCTTTTGTGTTTGATTTATTACGTAATTTATCAACCAACGCCCAGCTCTTGTTTTTCTTAAACCCAGTTCTCATGAGCTCCGCGTAGAGATAGGAGGACATGTGACCGAGGGAACGTTCAAATCAAATGATGAGCAGGGAGTCCTGCAGCTTGGCAATTTAAGTCAGAACTACATTTCAGACCCAGATCTCCGTGCTGTACTGGCTAATGCTGACCTGGATGCCAACAAAATGAAGGATTTTGAAGATCAAGAGCTACTTCTTGCAACGTCTGTGATTTACAGCGACAAATTTGTACTCATAGGGAAAAGAATGCGTCAGGTATCAATTTTGTATAACATATATTGTGTGACGAAGTGTAATATTGTAGCCGACAGCAAATTTTGCTCCACTTTTTTCTAATATAAGATCTCATACCTTCTTTAAATTGTGTTTGCCTCTTCATTTTAGAATTTAGAGTGTGATTTGCCAACTGAATCCGAGTTTTTGTCCAAATAATATCTTTGAATGCTCTTTGGCCGTATTTGCATCTTCCA